TATGCACAATACAGTCCACAGCATATTGGGCTTTGAATTATGAATTTTATCATCAGTGATTAAATTTAAAACACTTAAATATAACCATCTGGTGTTGACTTGTGACAAACAAAACAATTTTAAATGTGCGTGTATTTTAAAGGACAATGTGCCAATGTGTAAGAAAATTAATTTGCTTGGTAAACATTTTTAAAAAAGTCAATTTTTTATAATTTAAAAATTCGCTTTCGCTCTTAAAACGCTAAATTACTAAGTAATTATTTTTACAATCTTTCTAGTATTTCGTACCTCGACAATGCTTGAGTGTCCGTTTGTACCTTACCACGTTACGTCTGTTTTTTTTTCAAAAACTAACGAAATTAATAATCTCAGTACAGACTACTAAAAATCCAACCTCAAAAGTCATTAATCCCCTAGTTTACCACCCTTAGAGGTGGAATATTCTCTTCTAATTTAAGAGCCTCCTCCTTTTCTTAAAGTCGGTTAAAAAACACACGCACACATTCGCATAATCTCGTGATGCACTCGCGTTGCATAAAGCGAGTCGTGTAAAAAATGACATGAAATACTTAGTAGACGTGTTTATTGTATATGTTTGTGATAATTTGAACAAAAACGCCTCTAATTCAGTATTGTTCAGCATTTCATTTCTTTTTCATAATCAAGGTACCAATCCGCTAAACTGGTTTAAAATTATAAACACGTAAGTACATATGTACATACTGCATTTAACAAAGTTTATGTCAAACTGCCTCTGTGGCCGAACGGTTACCATACCGAACTGCCACGCAGAGATCCCAAATTCATTCCCGAGCCGGGAGAAATATTTTTATTGGCTACATTTTTTTTCTCGTGAGTTTGGGTGTAATTTGTGTTTGTCTCCTTGGCACCCGCGACTCAGGGTTTCCCTAGTGCGGCCTGTTTGAGTGTGTGCGTTATTTTTTTTATATAGCACAAGAATACTATGATGAACACCTTAATTTTTTCCAAATTATCTTTGCAACCTGTAGGTAAAATAATAATAATAACAACCCTACGCTCTGAGCGTAAAAGGGTGTTTAAGGCTTGAACAGTTGCGACGAGAGACGATTTGACCTCTAAGCGTAGTTTAGACTACTCTAAACAATTTCATACGCCATCTATCGACCACTCGCTTGTACTTACACAAAGTCAAATAAAGATGAGTTGTAAATTGAATACAGAAGAGTCATAAGTGTTCTTTGCAATCTATACCTACGTTGTTGTTCCCTCAGAGACCTTCGAGAATAAACCATCCTAAAAATAAACATTACATAATATTTTGGGGTCAAAATCGTAATAGCATAAATAGTGAAAAGTATTAGTTAAATCGTGCAATGATTCGATCGTTACATCAATCATCAATTAATAACTAATACTACTATTTTCAACTATAAAGGAGAAGTAGAAAAGAGTAGTAAAATTAAAACAAATACTTTTATTCGCTATATTTTAAATGCATTTAACAAACATCAATATTTACTTATTAATTATGCGTCATTGAAAGTATAACTTTTATGTATTATTTATTCAATTTGTTTTATGCGATAAGTAAATAAATACTAGATAAATAAAAAAAAAGTGAATACGACCAATACGAATAATTTGGTTTTAACTGATGGAAATGCCAACAATAAGAAGTATACAGTACAGTATAACGGTATGTACTTTGCGCGAGGTTAAATAAATATACATTAAAATGGGTAGTTTATTAACTAAATTGTTAACATTAAAAAGCGTCAAAATATAGCGAGAAAAAATATTTTAATTTAGTTCGAGTACTATTTTCTGATTGAAACAAGGGTTCGTCGTCACGAGAGCAAATATTTACGAAATTTTCTGGATCAGTGGTGGTTTTATTTTCTTTGTTTCCTATTTTCTATAAAACAAAACCGCAGCAACCGACAAACAAAACCGCAGGCGGAAAATGCAATGCAGTATAGTTTCATTTCTACTAAATAAAGTGCGTATGTCTTTGTGCAGAGCGACGCAGCCTGACGGTGACGTCAGGCTGGTGACAGCCACCACGGGCACTACAAAGTGTGACTAGGCTTCTCAAAAGGCAAACATTGGCTGAGCGACATAGGACTGCTTAGGACGAACTTACAAATAGCAATACAATATAGCACTTCATATGTGCTAAATAAAGTGAATTCTTCTCACTCTCTCTCTCTGCTTTACGGGACATCTGCTTTACAAATAGGTGGTCGTGTTTTAAGCGATTTGTAGATTTTACACTTGTTGTACGTTTAAGTACATATAATAGTCCAAATAAGACGATCTAGGTGGCCCAACAGTTTGCACTGTTGGCACTGCATAAGAAGGTTCCAGGTTCGATTCCCGGCAGAACCAATTAGGGAAATGAACTTACTGAACTTGGGTCTGGTCTGGGTATTCTTGAATTCAGTTGGTCTAACCAAGGACAACAGAATTCACTCCGCGGCACTACCCGTAACACCAAGGCCAAAACCATTTTAGAAAAGTTAATTTCCTATTGGGAGTCGAACCTGGAACCTTCTCATCCAGTGCCTTATTATTTGCATGTTTAATGTAAAAATTCCAAGCTTCATCTTAGATTTATTTTTATATCTTTATTGTCTAGTCTACTCTTTGGTAGTTATTAAAAAAGATTCAACGTAAATATAACGAAATAACTAATTTATAAAATCTAAAAATATAAAAACAAAGTCAAACGTATATGTATATACAAACTAAATTTAATACAAATAAAAGTGAAATTAATTAAAAACTACAACTTTGTGTGGCATAAACCAGCTCAAAAACACACGCACAGTCTGCCCTTTGCAAAGCCTGAAAGGCAACTGAGCGTAGTACTGCGCAGAGCTACCGAGGGGAAAGGATTTTTTTTTTTTCAAAAAATAACACCTAAGTATATGAGTAAAAAAAAGGGAACAATACATTCTATCTGCAATTAAATTATCTATTTTTTTCGTGTAAAATTTATAAACAACGGATGTTTGCATGTGAAGAAAACTTGCTTTTTGTTCAATTTGAAGGTGTAACTTTGAATTTTATTTCGTAGAAATGTGCTTAATAAATTATAATTTTAATCAATACAATCAATTATTTAAGGACTACTAGCAATCACACATTTTTTTTGTGATTATTGGACTTTTTATTATTATCAGGAATTTAATTTAAAAAGTGCCTAATTCATCAATTTGGCACCTGTTCCAGCCTTAAGTGCCGAAAAAACGGGAGTTGCCACACTTTCTCTTATTATATCTATGATTCAATTCTCAAAATGATGGAACGCATCTTTGCACATTCCAAAACGCTATTATTTTAATAGTGTTGTATTGATTTTAACTTCTAAATCCAAATAATGGAAAGATCACTTATGATTTTATAACAATTCCAAATTATTTAAACTGGAAAAGTTTGAAACCTGTATACTTTTTACATTACGTTAATATTTTTAGGTCATTTTAGTAAGTATAATTACGTAAGTCTTCTGGTAGATAGTAATGGTGAATGAGTTAATATTCTAATGATTACTAAATACAAAATAACTCATACTAACCCAGTCAGAGTCTTTATTATGCACTCTTAATAGTGGCCTCTGCGAGGTTCTGTAATTCTCAGACTGTTCTGCGAGGTCAGAGTGAAGGGACATCTACTAGGTGATGAACTAACAGTAACCAAGTCGTTCACATCTTCACATTTTCTTTACCTTTTGTATCTTTAACGGCTTTGGTAGCCCAACGGCATGCATTGTGGGCGCTGGATGAGAAGGTCCGGGCTCGATTCTCGGTAGAATTAATTTGGGAATAGATTTTTTCTAAATTAATTCCATGTCCATGTCCAATGTTCTGGGTAAAATTCTCCGCAGAGTGAATTCCGTTACTCTGGTACAACTATTCTGGTTTTTGAAACCAGGTATTAATTATTGTTACTTCCATCAGGTAAAAATGTAACACATAAGTGAGTCTATCGCAATAAAAAATATAGTTACTCGCAGGTTTTCAAAAAAGGTTTTTTTTAATATTTAGTGACGGGAAGAACAAGTCGTGCGCCTGATGGTAAGCTACACGCCTATCCATTACAGTTGCAGGGCCACGCAGTGTTTTGAATCGCAAAGATCTGAGGGACACTGCCACTAAGTAAAGTGTCACCATTTACTTTTACTTTATTTGTTGACCTAAATACCAAAACCACAATGGCACGAGTTCAATAGCTGTGGTATTTATTAAACAACACTGATATAATTATTGCAGAACATAAAATAAAACTTATAGCAAACCATCTTTACCACTGAATATTAAATATATAATATATTCCATAATTGCTCATAAATACACATAATACAAAAAAATGTAAATTTACGAGAATATGTGTTGTTGTATAGTTACGTAATAACGGTGACATTTCCTTGTAGGAAACGAGTGACGCAGCTTGCGGACACGGTGAGCATGAGTCATGGTGTCCCGCTCTTTAGGCGTGGCGCACACGCACGTCAGAAGCTATAATAAGTGTTATGAACACGGACAATATAATTTTTCTTGTTTTCTTCCATTGAAATACAAGCGTAATAGTAATAGGTATATAAAAATGATAACATTTATATACAAACTATGATAATGTATGGGATACAAAGTACATATTAGTAAATACATATTTCAAAGTCTATAGGCCTATTGGTCGGCGCTGGTATATACATGTACATATATACCAGCGCCGACTAGATGATCAAAAACAACGCGGACTTTTTGTAAGGTATATTTGTGTGTACCTTAACTACTTAAGATGTATTAGTAGATGAATGACTTTTCTAACTGTCAACAAGATATATAAACTATGCTATATAGTTAATTTTTTTTTAAATGTAAAGTATAAAATGTAATGTTATATATCTGCCATAATATTTATTAATATCATTAATAAATATTATGACAGTGTGACGACACGCTTATTTGACAATGCGCACACGCACCGTTCGCTACCGTTTTGCCTGTCAGCCTGATAGAAGCCGCCGGAGACGACGCACGTGTCAATGCGGATTTAAAAATTGGCGCGAACTTTATAATTTTAGTTTTCAACTCAAACTTCCGTGTAAACTGTGATAAAAAGGTGAATATTGTGATGACAGACACTGTTCAATATATTGTGAGGATTGTCGTTACAACGTTATTGTATTACACTTTGATATGTGTGTTTAAAGAACTTCGGAGATATTGGACGGGGGTCGATTCGAGTGAAACCGACAGCTCACATTTGGATTTTTAATAATTTTGTCCGATTTTGGTAAGTGTTTTGGTATCATTTTAAAATGTATTGTATTTAAACGTGTACAAGACTCATAGTAAAGAGAAGTTTATTGGTAAAAACATTTAACACCGATCATTCATTTACCTTATTGTGATACGAATATCTATATCCAAACGCACCACTGCGCGCTGATCTCTATTTTGTTCAATACATATACAAAAGCCATTGTGAAGTACCCTACGACTATCTCACCACAGTGTCGCTCCTTGCTTGCCTTGTGTACTCATAGTGAGTAATTCACGGATGAATCATTTAAGTTTTTGCTTACTTACCGTAATAGTACTTCTTTGGTGTTAACACTGTGCTGATTATTTTTATTTTATTTGATTGAAATAATTTTGTTTTACATTACTTCTATGCACAATTGTTTGTGGATTATCTGATATTGACCCTAAAGTGCAACTACCAAAACACTAAAATTAGTAATATTATATACATACATAAAGAATGACACCGAAAAACACCTAATTCTTCAGAAAAAAAACACTGCCTCGTATGCTTTTCTACAATAAATCATCAGCTTCGCACTTATCATTAATTCTCCCGTACCTATGGTGGGATAGATAGTTAAGCTTTACTTGTGATGTCTGAACACGTACTGATGTAACGCAATCAGCAGTTTATTACTAAATAAATAGATTTACAACTTACGGGGAACGAATTCGACGATATGTAGTAGCACTCCAAGTTCAGCTAAAAGTTAATGTGTATTCAATTAAGTAACGTTTTCATTTGCTTGTAACCCATTAAACTAAGTCCGCGAAAATTCAATCAATTTTTCATCTATCAATTGGAATAAAAGCAAATACCTGGAATTTCATCCCTAAAAACTTGATTGATTTGATTTTAAATCACCTATTCCCAATCTGTGATTGATGTTTTTATACAAAGTTATTCATGGTGTCATAGATGCACCTGACATCCCCGAATGTGTATTCTTATCCGTCCCTCATCGCGGTAACCGCCTACACAATTGTAAAACTTTTTCACTTCCGACTTGTAAAACGAATCTCAGTCAACACTGTGCACTGTATCGTACGTGGTCTTCTTACAATCTATCATATTTGATTTTGACATTTTTTCTAGTTCCGAGCCTCAGCCAGGAACTCAAGTAAAAAGTGTCCTAAGTGTTAACTTTGCGATAAGTTTTGTTTTATTTATTGTCTTCTTATAAGTATTGATGCAACTTTCTTATTACTATCATTTATGTTATTTTTTGTTAATGAAATTTGAATACATTAGTAGGGTACATTTTTCTCATATCATTATATGCATCAAACGCTTTCATCTTATTTTAGAAATGTATCCAGTTTTTTGAATCGAATAAAAAAATCTTTGCAAAAAGAACTTGTTACCTATATAATTTTATGTAACTAAGCCCATTGAAATGGTGATTCAATCGTGCACCTGCATGTGAGACATACCCTCTCATTTAAAACAATAAGTGGAGTTGTATTACACGTTTATTTCATACAATGAATGTGTCAGTGTAAATTGTTAAGGTCGTCGTCATGATGAGTGAATAAGAATCAATTTCGCTTACACGATATAGTCAACTTTAATTTGAACATTGAATTACGTAACAGAAATTCTGGGCTAAGCCAAAATATCATGCAACGAGAAGATATGGACACCTGCTACCTGGGGTTACGTTGACTATTCCTGTCTTCTCCTGTCAGAGGGCTCAGCGGTCTCAATCATTATCGTTATTCAGACGCAAATGTTCACTGTATGACAAACAATCTTGGGATGCAACTTTCTTATATGATCTAATGTGTTATGTTGTTCTTAAATGTTTTGGAATTGTAGCTTTATTCCAATTATCGTTTTAGTTTAGGTTTGCCTGTGTGTTTGATAATTTCTAGTTATTTCTCAAAAACGTAGAATTGAACATTTTTGTTCTAATTATTATACATTAGTATACAACCCCTGCAGGTGTTCTAAACGCTTTTGATCATCCTTTATTTTGCGCACAGCACAGTAATGGAATTCCCTATCTGCTACTGTGTTGTCGATCAAATATAACCAGAATATCTTTAAAGTGCGATTGAGTAAGCATCTTCTGGACGAGCTCACTTCATCGTAGAACCCATCTTTGCTCCATGGCTATGTAGTGGTTAAGAATAAGTCCATTTACTAAAAAAAATATTAATTGAAAATAATACATATATCCTAGGTATAAGAAAGTGAAACAGCCATAATAAGTTCTATATTACGAAGTGATGTTAGTATTCAGAACAGGACGTCCCGATTTTAACCGTTTCCTCGGATCGGGAATAATAATCATCTCTTTTAAAGGCTCATAAACGTCGCTTGTCCTTCTCGCCTACGAGTGAAAAATCGAATCTTTACAGATTCGCAGAAGCTGTGCTCTGAATTTGAATCAGAGTTATTTAACATAACACAATTGATTTGGCTCATAAAATGATCACATTATTTTTAGTGTAAAAGTACTTACAACAATTTTGTGGTCTTACTTGATGATATTTTTGTTGTTTTATTTACTAAAGTTTTATCGTTAATTACTCTTTATTAATTATAAGAAGCAATCTCCACACTTCATAAAATGAGAAAATACACGACACGTCTAGTAGTTTCGTTTTCTAATAATTTTACAACTACAAGTTGCTAGCTATTATGGCCACGTAGATCTAATATTTAATTCTGAAATATTTGAACATATTTTCTTTCTTTTATTTTACTAGACCGTCATATCAATTATCTGCTCTGAAACTAGGAAATTCCCTGTATTTATGTCCGTTTGTTCCACTACCCACTTTAAAATTCCCACTCGAGGATCTCACATTTTTATTAAATTTGATTCCACAAATCCCCCACTAACGTAGTACTTGCATTTTTTTTCTAATATCAAGTGACGGGACGAAAGTCGTAGGCCTGACGGTACGCTACACGCTTGTCCATAACAGTTGCAGTGCGACTCAGAGCTTTGAATTTGAATTGAGAAGGACACTGCCACTACTTCCGTCTCCTTGAGACATAAGTTGGCATAGACATAAGTCTCATGTGCCTGTAATTTCACCAGCACCCTTACGTTTCAAAACCGGAACACACATTACTGCTTGGCGGCAGAAATAAGTAAGGTGGCAGTACTACTCTATTCTCTTCTCTATCTACTAATCGACGAGCTCTACTGCTACTAACATTTTTATTCTGTTTTTCTTTTATTATTAATTGCGTAATAAAAGTATTAAATAATTGTGTAATATTGTTTTATATTTTGAGACCTCAGTCGTAGATTTTTCGTTTAAAATGCACGACAGACAAGATTGGGGAAAGGAGTACCATATTTGTTTAGTTGTTGACAACTGGCTTATACTATCTGATATCGAATATTATCTGTATCCGTTACATTTTTACCCACATACGTACATCAAAGTAAAGTAAGTTTTTTATATATTCGGTTCTTCTTCTTCTTATCGTATCAATGACATACTTTATATTATTACGGCCTAAAACTTAATCATTCTGGCCACGCCAATAGTGGCAGCCCTAATGAACTGGGCACGGAACATATTTCGGCCATTCTCGGACTAGTGTTCACTCCCTAATTTCCGTGATAATTTTTATTATTTATATATTCAAGTAAATTGTCGTCTAATTATTAAATAATATTTCACGATTCAATACTGGAATATTAAATAATATTGCACGATAAAAAAATCTGATACTTAAATAATAAAAATTGCCACGGAAATTAGATAATTAACGCTAGTCCGAGAATGACCAATTTCTCATCATTTATTTATTTATTTATTTATTTGGGATAACAACAGCAATAATGATAGGTTACAAAAAATTAATTACATATTACAAAGCCAATAACAGTTATCCTCGATTTATACATTAAAATAAAAACAGAGCACGGGGTGTCTATAAGCGTGATAAATAATTATACAGATTATATACATACATATAATTGTGAAACAAATTAAGTAAACTAAATACGTACACCTACATACAAACAATACTTACTATGCACAATAAAACCTAATATTAATAAGTATTATACACTGTACCTACATATGAATACAACTTAACACTAAATCATAAATACTTCTAACATTATAAAAATAGCAAACTATAACTATAAAAGAAATGAATAAATAAATGAGCAAAATAAAATAAATTAAGTGAATTAAGTGAACCTACGCATCGCGTTTGAAAATTAATTCTTTAATGTTTGACTGGAAAGAATGCTTTTTATCTACAAAGGGATCAACGTCATAGAAATAATAGGGGTTAAAGTATGAAATTGCCGATTTGTACTGAAAATCTAAATTGTTTATTTTTTAAATTTTTAACAAATTTATTTAATCAAAATAGTTGCCATTATTATCTATACATTGCTGCCATCTAATGGGAAGGTTATTAATGCCTTTGCGATAGAACTCCGACGATCTAGACTGCACAAACTGTGTGAAAGCATTTTGTACTGCCTCCTGGGAAGAAAACTTCTTGTCACGTAGATAATTGTCCAAATCACAAAAAAAATGGTAGTCCGTTGGAGCAAGGTCTGGTGAATACGGAGGATGACGAATGGTTTCTAACTGCAGTTCCTGAAGGGTCAAAATGGTTTCTCGTGCTGTGTGAGGTCTTGCGTTGTCGTGGAGCAATAATGGTGAAGATCGATTCATGAGTCGGGGCTGTTTTACTGCTAGTTTTGTCAACATGGTTCGGAGTTCGGCACAATAGACATCTGCCGTTATTGCTTGACCAGATCGGAGAAAACTATAGTGAATAACACCATGCTGAGACCACCAAACAGTTACCATTACCTTTTTATTGGTAAGTTTTGCTTTAGGACACTGTTGTGGCATTTGACCTGGGGTCAGCCATTGCATTTTTCTTTTCCGGTTATCATAAAGAATCCACTTTTCATCACATGTTACAATTTGATCCAATATTCCTTCATTTCTATACCGGTTCAACAAGGCAACACAAGTTTCAACACGCGT